CTAACACCTTCCCTCGGGTCAACAGAATTCCTTACTTAGAATTTCTGGTTCGCAGACTTCATTTGGAAAAGTCGAAAATTTCCTCGATTTGGGATTCAAGATAAACCGGTGACTTGGGACACCAAAAGCCAAACCTTTCCCAAGTGGCGACTCTGAATTAAATAAATAATCTCATTTCGAATATTATCACTTAAATTGGAAAAACTCTCTCTCGCATTTAACCCTTCGGGATCGGGCGCGCAAAAAGGAGGTGTGACAGATCCAGACTAAGGTGACATTATTTGGCTACGAGGGATAGGAGTAGATATCTCAACTCAGGCGATGAACTATCATGCCAATCAGCATGCAATGTCAGAGTATTTGAGAAGGGAGTACTGTCCATATTAGGACCATATGCCAAAGATATTGTGCGAGAACTCCAAAAAAACACGTTACTATGTACTAGTGCTAAATAATTGTTTATAAACCTAGAAAAGATAAAGAAAAAAAACCATATACTAGTACTATATTTAGTATATTTTTTATACTGGTTTCGTCCCGAATTTTCTTTAAAACACAATTCTTTCCCAATGATGTCATTTTTCTTTTTTAGGGTACTTTTTAGCTAGATTTTTCAAAATTTTAGACTTTTTCCGATGATGAACTTTCAAGACAATTTTTTAAGGGACTAAAATCTGAAGAAAAATTCAAAAAATATTTTTTTTTTCTTTTTATAACTGATAGGTAAGAATGGGAGTACTTGAGTATTTGTGCTATCGTACGTGTTTGTATACATTTGGAGGCAAAGAACACATGAGGAGCGAATACAAATGGGATTTGGTGACGAGTTTCTATTTCTTCATTCTCTTTATTAGTTATGAATTTCTATAATTGTTTTGAGATGACAGCTATGCGTGGCTAACGTTTTTATTTTTGGGATTGTGGTTAGCCATGAATATTAACATATAGCAAAATTTTCTCTTTTAATATGACTTACCATCATATGATTATTTTTTAAATTTTATGCATAATTACTTGATAGTATGGACAATAATTAAATTCTATTTACTATCTAGGTTATGCATGAAAAACCCGTTCTTAAATTAGAGAAGAATTAAAGAGAGCGTGATCTCTGCCATAGGATTAGAGTGCGGATTTGTGGTTAGAACATGAATATACCTAGTCACGTCGCTTAATTACATGTCGTGATCTCATTGCATTTTTAAACGATTAATTTCATAAGAATATATGCGTTAATTTATTCTGAGTATGCGAGTAGTAATTTGAGGGAATACTACGAGTAATTTTAGTTCGATTAATTAACAACCCTCGGTAATTGGGATAAAGGAGGAATAAGCAGAACTCAATGGGAATGGTGAAACGGCCATAACCCTGAAATATTTACCTCTACTAAATTCAGCTCATAACAATAATCTTTCACTGTGGTAGTTTTATTACTTGTTTAATTTTTGCAATAGCAGATTAATAACAAAATTCCCAATTTGGTGAACTCAATTAGATTAAAAAAATCAATTGAATTAGTGAGTAGTTAAAGATATATCTCTGCGGGTTCAATATTCGACTCTAAGTTACTATACTATTTGTTAAATATATATATACTTGCGTGTGTATTTGGACATTAAAATAATTTAGAAAAATATGTAGTTGAGGATAGTGACATCATGGCTGTGCCCCAATTAGAAGGTGTTTAATTTTCTCCCTTGTGTGTGAAATGGTCAATTCCCACACCCTTTTATTGATTCTGGAATTGCAAGCAAAGGTCTTTGGTCCCTCACTTCTTTTGGTTGGCTCTTCCATACCTATCACTCAAAACTTCCTCTTCCTTTTTGCATTATAATAGACACATGTACCTTTTCGTATTCTCCATTATTATGTAGTAATTTACTAGTCTAATGTTGCTTTAGGACAATGTCTCTCTCACACGCACACATAGAGTCGTGTATCTAGATTTTTTTTTTACTTTATTTTATTTTACATTATCATGATATGATGAAACCAACATGGTGCGATTAGACCACTCATGTGTAACGAGGCTAAATTCTTTTCCTAGTTATTAGTCAAAACACTGACTATTAATGTTGAGACAAAGGAATTTATAAGAAAGACTAAGGAATTTATTAGACTAATCTTCCTGCTTTGCCATTAGGAAAATTCATCGTTCATATGTGCGCTTCTTTTTACTTTCCTGACACCTCTTTTATTACTTCCTCCCTTCACTTTTATTTGTCCAATATTTTAAAAATAAATTTTTACTTTTATTTATCACTTTTCGCTTATCAAGAAAAGATAATTTTATTTTTTTCCTGTCATACCTACAATATTAATTACTTACTTCAAATTATTTTCTCAAATTCATTAAAAATATGCATCAATTAATATGGGTATTATGATAAATTATGTATTTCATTTGTTATTTCCTAAGGCGTGTACAAAGTACATAATATACAAATAAAAGTGAATGGATGGAGTATATATTTCTTCTCTTACTTCATCAAATTCATATTTAAAGAGGTTGAGTACTAACATATATGGTTGCTGATATTACAAACAGGTTTTCTTCAATTATTGTCGAAATGAGACTAGTAAATAATTAAATTCAAAAGTATTGTATAGTACTCCCTCCGTTCACTTTTACTTTGTATGTATATTAAAAATAAATTTTTATTTTTACTTGTCACTTTACACATATCAAGAGAAGACAAATGTTTTCTCCTGTTATATCCACAGTATTTATTACTCATTTCAAATTATTTTCTCAAATCCAATAAAATATGTATCAATTAAGATGTGTATCATAGTAAATTATGCACTTCATTTATTATTTCTTAAGGGCGTGAAAAGTCAAAACGTGTCAAGTAAAAGTGAACGGAGGGAGTACTAAACTTCCTTTCGGAATAAATAATTATTTTGTCCGACAAATTTTCTTTTTGTTAAAAGATAACAACTCATAATAATATTTTTGTATAATTTTTAGATATTAAAATTTTCATAAATAAATCATTTCATATCTAACTTATGTTTAAAATTGATCAACTTGGATATAATTTTTCCCGTCATTTATTTTTCTCGTATTCCATTTATGCAACAATGTTTGAATGAGTATGAAGTTTACGAAATTAATATTAAAATAATATAATATTAAAAAATCTAGTTAAGAAAAAGCATCATATCAAATTTAAATTTGAATGATATAGTAGTTAAAGTAGTAAAAATATTTAAATAAATTGATATTAAATATTTTGTGATATTGAGAAAAAGAAAAGAGTGTAGTGTAAAAAACAAATATAGGAAGGAGGGGGATTTTGATTTAAAAAAAAAAAGAGAGAGAGAAGAAGAAGTGGTAAACCAATAGTAATAGTAATATGTTAATTGACTTTTCCTCCAATATTGTTGAAATTTGTTGTCTTCCTAAAATCTTAAGGCCCAACCAACCCTCCTTCCTCCTTCTGCACTCTGGGCCCTCTTTCTTGTCTTTCTCTCTCTCACACACACGTACACATAGTTGTTGCAGCTTGACATCATTATAGCCTTGTGTGTAGCTTTTATGCAAATTCCATTCCTAAACAGCCTTTCATTATTTCTAAGAAACCCAACTTTCCTTAATTTCTGCTTAAGGGTGCAAGACCAAAGATTTGCTTTTTGCTTTTACTTGCATCTTTGAAGAGAAATTTCTAGTGTTGACCCTCAAATATTTTGTCTCAGGTTTGAGTTGGGTGAGTTCAAGAACCAGTTTAATTACCAAAGATTGAATCTTTGTTTGTATTTTCGTTGACCCTTTTGAGTTTGAAGTTAGAATGGAGACACAAAATGGTAGCAAGTCAAAGATAGATGATTATGAAGTGATAGAGCAAATTGGAAGAGGAGCTTTTGGTGCTGCATTTCTTGTTCTTCATATAACTGAGCAGAAGAAGTAAGCAAATAATTCTTTGTATATTTCTGGTTTATTGGTACTAATGCTTCCTAATTCTTTGTATATTTCTGGGAGGTATATGGTTTTTAATTTCATAGATTTTTGCTTTTTTAGGTGTTAGCAAACAAGCATTTCTTAGAATTTATATACTTAGTTACTATTTTTATGTTGGTATTTGCTTCACATGACATATGTAGGTCCATGGTTTAGAAATTTAGTAGAACCCCTTGTAAAACTTGGTTATGGTAATAATGCACTTTTTACTATCAATTTCTAGAACTAATTGTAATATGCTTCTTTCTTGATAAAAAATTGTCTTGATGGAGTGGCCCCCCCGGGGCTTAATTCAAGTGGCAAAGGTTAAGGGACTTGTGACTTAGGTCACAGGTTCCAGCCCTGTGCCATGCGAACTAATCTTGGTGTTTAATAGTAGGAAAAGGGTTGATGGGTGAGCCCATTATCCCTCGAGTATCGAAGGCTGCAGTTCGTCCTTAGGGTTGGCCCCGATTTCTCGGTCTTCAAGAATACAAAAAGAAAATTGTCTTGATGGAGTGTTTCTATCTACTTAAAGCATGTAGAGGAAACTTGTTATGTGCTGTTATCGATCTTATCTTCTTTTAATATTCTAGTCTTTCAGTGTTCATAATGTAACAGAAAATAAAGAAATTCAAAACGAAGTTATTTGTACTGGCAACAAGGTACTCAGAGACAGAAACCAACAATTAATATTTAGCTACATTTGCAGTTTTAAAGTGAGAATTTATGTTGGCTTTTATGGACTGTGTAGTTGGCTTTAATTATGGAAACATAATGATACAACTGTAAATTACCCGTATTCCGATTGAGCTACATATCTTATGTGGTACTGAACCCCTTGTGTAGAACATTCAAGTTATTGACACTGGTAATAATTGCTGAAGACTATTTTTGAATGGACTATTGATATCGCTATCGTTTTTGTCCTTTTAGATATGTTCTGAAGAAGATACCTTTAGCAAAGCAGTCAGAGAGGTTCAAGCGTACTGCACATCAAGAGGTCATTTTAAATGCTTTTTTATATTTGTTTTCTTTTGTATGGCTTTTATAATCAAATGCTAGCCAACCATGTTTTTAGTTCATTCTGAGGCTAGATTGCCTATTTTAATGATTCTTTTAGTTTTTATACTGACTATAAAAACTAACAGCAGTAATATTATACTGGAGAGCTATACTATATAAAAGTGATCCATCATTAGACCTAACAGAAGTGGTATTATATCATCGATGGTTTTTGTTTCATTTCCAATATCTTGGGGGTCTAATTAAAAAAAGGGCAGCCCGGTGCACGAAACAGTCCGCGCTCGCGCTTGGGGTCTAATCGAGGACTATAGATCTGTTGTCTTAGATTCTTGTGCACATGTCTTTCCTCATTGGCCATCAATGTCCTTGCCTTACAATCCTTTGGTTCAACCTAATTTTTTTTCCAAAGGCTGCATTTGCTTTCTATTATGAGATAAATTTTCCAAATATTTAAGTTAAGCATTTCCTTAATCTTCCATTTTGAATTGGTCTTCAGTCATGGATGTCAGTGAGACAAGTTAGGTATATAATAGAAGGAAAAAATTTCTTCAATAGTTGAACTTTGTTAATTTTGGTGTACAAAAATAAGAGCACATATTCTATAGCTTAACCAAGACGTAATTACGGAATTTTGAACAAATGCTAAGGCATTGGCCATCATTCTCATACCCTTTATGTTAATTTTGGTGTCATTTCACTATGTTACTCTTGTACATTTGAAGGGGCAGTCTTGCTCTTCAAACCCTTTCTTATTTGAGCAGTCTTCCTTAGTAATTGAATCATGATCAGTTAGACCATATGGTTAAGAAGATTGGAGAAGATCTTCAGCGATATTTGAAGCATAGATTTTCCATATTTTTTGGTAGAGAAGAAAAGTAGAAAACTATTGTGAGTGTGACCATCCAAACCAAAATCTCATAGCAAAGGTTAGCAACTTCAGACCTTAGTTGAAGGAAATTCTTAGGTTGGAAATTTATATGTAAATTTTGCTACTTGTGGATCACTGGATCATAGTAAATGCTAAAATCGCTTTCTTTTAGGACATGGAGCGCATTTTCATACTTCATATTATTTGGTGCCTACTCCTAAAATGTTCTTGTGAAGAACTTTATAAGCCAGATGGTTTCTCAAAGAAATACTCCCTGTTGTTCTAATTATGTGGCCATTATCCTGTCAAAGTTGGGTTGACCTTTATAAGCAAACCTTTTGCTGCAGCTTTCGAGTTTCGATACTGTTGAGTTTATGGTAAAAAATAGATATTGTTCGGACAATGCCTTTTGACTTTTAGAAGGCAAATAGTCATCGCAGTCAAGAAAAGTTAAGTAATTGAAGAGTTAACTTTATTCTTACCTTTACCGATCAAAAAAAAGAAAAAAAAAACTTACCTTTGAACCTGCACACATTCAGCTCATCTTATTTATTTAGTGTTCTCATCAAATTAGGCCACTTAAAAGTGGACGAGTTTAACAATGTTGAGTAGATATGTTTGTATAATATTATGTTATCTGATGATATGTTTGTATGTTTCGTTCTATGGCAGATGAATCTGATAGCTAAGCTAAGCCATCCATATATCGTGGAGTACAAGGATGCTTGGGTCGACAAGGTATATTATGTTATTCAGTTCTAGCACAGGATTTGAAACTACAATAACTATCCTTCATTTGAGAAAATGTCCACATCGAGTTGCCTTAGGAAAGGCTTGACTTTGTTTTTTCTTTCAGGGGAACTCTATATGCATCGTTACCAACTATTGTGAAGGTGGAGATATGTGAGTGTTATCCTAACCTTGCTAGCATTTTTAGATGATTTCCTTATTTGCACTTAGACGCCTCTTTTGATGGTTGAAACATATTTGTTGAGGTGAACTAGCCTTTGATGCAAGTATATGAAGAATCTTTTGACACCTCTTCCTATATAAAAAGATCGAAAGCAATGATATGACCATAGGAATGTTTTATGGTCTAATACGAGGACACTGACTTTTTTTGGGTGATCAGGGCAAAGATCATCAGGAAGTCAAGAGGCACACTCTTCCCAGAAGAGGTAGTTTAGATACAACTTCCATCATAATGGCTTCTCTGTACTAGCTTGTTTCACTTAAAGTTATGTGCTCACCATCTCTTTCCTCCACAGAAACTCTGCAAATGGCTGACTCAGCTATTACTGGCAGTGGATTATCTGCATTCCAACCGTGTTCTACACAGAGACGTGAAGGTATAAACAGGCCCTGATCTGTTTATGAGTTTTCCTCGTATGACATGTTTTAACATGAACTACTTCGGTTTCAGTTGTCTAACATTTTTCTCACAAAGGACAATGACATCCGGCTAGGTAAGAATGACGGCCAAGTGTTTAATTAGCTCCTTGCTTCTCTGTTATCTATGATCAAACTTGTTTTCACTTTATTTACGCAGGTGATTTTGGATTAGCAAAACTTTTAGATGGAGAAGGCGGTCTTGCTTCCTCGGTATGAGTTCTCTTTATATTCATACAGCTATAGTGGAAAAATCAGCTCCTGCTTATTAATGACAAACTATGATCACCTACACAATGACTCAATATGCTTAAGTAGTTACTAGATAGAGGGTACCCCATCACCCNTCCTGTTTTTAACTTTGATGAAAGTGACAAATCTCTAAGGCTAAAAGAGAAGGTCCCCGTTATTTACTTTGATGAAAGTGACAACATTCGGCCACGAAATTTATCAGACAACTATGACACTTTTAAAAGCAAACTCGAGACTAAGAGAGTTGATCCCACTAGCTACTCAACAAAGATCTTTGTAAATGGTGCGGATTCTAAATGTTGGGACACTAGTGAGGCAGCTATTTACAACGGAGACGGTCAATCCGACTCTCTATTGCAAGAAGGAAGTACAAATATGCCAGAATCTTCAAGATTCATGGCAAACACTGAGCAAGTTTCTGTTGAGCATGCTCAACAATTTGAAGAAGGTGACGGGGAGAGTGACAAAACAAAAGACCTTGAGGTGTTGAGCACTCCAAGTGGCAGTGGAGAAGCTGACTTGAATGAACTAGATTGCATCTCCGAAAAGCCTAGCAGAATGATTTCGTCTAGTGGAAGCTCCACTGAGAAAACACGGTCCTTTGACGAAGAGAGCACTTCATCGACTACGCAACCTGCAAAATCTGATACTGATGCTGAACTAAGGTGTCATGCATCTGAAACTGAAAACGTTGGCGAGTTCAAAGAAGTTGATGTTGACTGCAATGCTTCTGAAAGAAATGGTTCAACCCCACTTAAAGATGACATAGAAAAGAAAGGAAATATGGTTGAAGATGCTAAACAGACTGATAAAGATGCTCTTCAAGCACTAGATGATAGGGTTTCACTGCTTAAGGCACTAGCTGCATTAGCTGAGCACAAAAATAACTGGGAAACTCCGACTCAACAAAGAGCTGAAGCTCTGGAATCCCTTTTAGAGGTTTGTGCACGACTACTTAAGCAAGAAAAAATTGATGAGCTCGCTGGTGTGTTGAAACCATTTGGCGACGATACAATTTCATCTAGAGAGACGGCAATATGGTTGACTAAAAGCCTCATGAGTGCACAAAAATTGGCCAAGGGATCGTGATTTTGTGATAGCAAGCTTTCCCTTTACTGGAATATTACTGTACAAAGCGATGTGTTTGCTTTCTGTGGGTTGACATAGATATTTAGCTAGACTGTCGTTTGATTTTCCTTCTAAATGATTTGATTTATGGGAAAGCTTACTTTGATTGTATTTTTCATCGAAGGAGCTTCTCTGGTGTGTAACATGAGCAACCAAGGTGAGAACTAAGTTATTGTTGGAGGCTTGTTGGATTGAGGTTTTCTTAGTTTTTGAGTGTATAATTGTAGGACATCTGATGGAATTGTGAAGATCTTCTGTTTTGGTTTTTGCACTATATTATTAATAGAAGTGAACTTGTGCATTGCGTGAACGCGGGATGCCTTGTGCACCGGGTTACCTTTTTATTTATTTATTATTATTAATAGAAGTGGACTTGTGCACCGGGTGAATGCGGGAGCCTTATGCACCAGTCTGTCCTTTTTTTTTTAGCTGCTCCTTCTGGCTAGAACAACTTATCACATTTGGTCACAGAGGACATGATATTACTTCAGCTTCTTGCTTTTGAACTTTTAGCGATGCTTTAACTTTGTTCTTTTTGATGAAAATTTCTTGTAAGTTTGTCATTTTTTGGATGTTCTTTTGGGGATAAGGTCATTGGGAATTGTGTTGGATCAACGCTACAAGCTTTCGCAATGTAATGAAATCTTTGTAAAGTCATAACTACTAGGGTTATAAATCATTCAATTGGTAGGGCCAATCAGTCACACTCATCCGTGCCTTTTTTACATCTGGTATCGGTCGATTAAAATGATGCCGGATGTAAAAAAGGCATGGATGAGTGCCAAGTGCCCCCCCTCCCTTCCAGTCCACTTAAGGATAAATGTGTGCGGATAGTAAGACAACAGGGAGTTTTATGGTCCGATCATATAACGGGGGTCAACTTTAAACAAATTATCATAGTAAAAGAGGCATGGATGAGTGCCAAGTGCCCCCCCTCCCTTCCGGTCCACTTAAGGATAAATGTGTGCGGATAGTAAGACAACAGGGAGTTTTATGGTCCGATCATATAACGGGGGCCAACTTTAAACAAATTATCATAGTAAAAGGACATGTCAGAATCCTTTTCCGTAATATAAAGTATTATTGGTTCTACGTTTTTGCATGATTGATAATTCTTTCACCAATGAACAACACAAGCAAGATTTGCTTAGCTCATTTAACAGAATGGTTTCGTAACATGTTCTGGTTAGCCCCCTGCTTAGTTTGAAATTCTCCCTAGCTTTACTAGTTAACAGACATTATAGAGCTGCTGTGGACTTGTAGTCGATATTCAAACTTAACGCTTGTATATAATACATATATGAATGACATTGTATAGCTGTTGTAGTCCAAAAAAATGTATAAAATTTGTATATGTAAATATTATGTATGTTATATACAAAACTTATACACGTTTTATACACTTTTTCAGTTACCAGATATAAATAGTTTCTGGCGCATGATAAAAGTGATAATACCCCTAAATGAGACTTCTTAAAGCTAATTTTTCAATTTTTCCTTGAGCCCAATGGCCTTATTTGTTTTAGGTTTGGGATAAGGGACTCTCAAATCCAGATGTATATGGTGTCTCTTGTGTGTGTATTCAATGTTTTCCTTGAACTCCATGTTCAATATTTAGGGGTCGTTTGGTAGGGCATATAAGAATAGTATTGAATAGGATGTATTAGTAATGTTGAGATTAGTTATGTTAGGATTATTTCTTATCAACTGTTTGGTTTGTGTATTAAATCTTTTGAAAGGGTAGTTCTATCTTTGTACTTACTTATCCATGTATTAAAACTCATGGTATTACTAATGTCATAGTTTGCTATGTATAAGAAATACTGAATAGGGTGAATAATTAATATAAGTATTAGTTATACATAGGTTGAAAAAAATAAAGAATTAATAATATCAAAGCTAATACATGAATAGTTTTTCGTAATACATTCTAACAAATGACCCCTTAATGTTATGTTGTTGATAGAAGAACAAAAGAACTGCCCCTTTTTTCTGTTTATTCTTTGAGAAAAAGTCACCATTTTAGTTTGATAGTAGGATATCATAACTCAAGCAGTATCCTGGCATTTATAAAATTACTAAAATTTATTTTTCTCAGTGTTAATAATTATTATTTCATCACCAGAACCACTAAGTGGTGACCTAGTTTTTATTTGGAATTTGCTATTATCTTAGTGGATGACCACGATGGCATTGCATTGATGTCAAGAAGGATATCACATTACAACAACAACAACAAACCCAATATAATCCCATAAATGGAGTTTGGGAAGAATAGTGTATACGCAGACCTTTCCCCTACCTTATAAAAATAGAAAGGCTGTTTCCGATAGACCCTCGGCTCAAGGAACAATAGAAATAAGATAAAGCAGCCAAGTAGTAAACAAAGGTGACAACAATGCATTATGGTGACGGGCGTGAATGACACAGCAACAACGACAACAACAAACACAACATGTAATAATAAAGAACCATGACTAAAATAATACAAAAATAATCTTAATACTACTTGTAGGCCTAGGAGGAACACACTAATAACTGTCAACCTACGACCCTAAATCACATTGCTAAATAATAATCACAGGTCCCTACTCAATTCTGCAAGACAAGTCTTAGTACTGACCAAGTTTTTATTTGGAATTTGCTATTATCTTAGTGGGTAACCATGAAGGCATTGTATTGAGGCAAAAATAAAGATGTCGCATTGCTATAAAAAGCCAGAGTTCCCTACTGTTTTATGCAACTCAAGTTTTAGTTCTTTTTCTTTCCTTCTCCAATTATATTTGGTTGCAAAACCAAAATGAAAAGCTCAGGAAAGCTGGGGCAATGGTCTCTCATTGCAGTTGCTTTGGCAATTTGCTTAGCAGCTAGCACCGTTGTTGCTGATTACTCTTATGGTTATGCTTCTCCTTTACCTTCTTACAACTCTAAGAAGCATTACAAATCTCCATCTCTACCCAAGTACCCAGTACTTACTCCTTACTATAAGTCGCATGCTCCTTCAAAGAACTACTACATATCACCGGCTCCCGCAAAATACTACAAATTTCCAACCCTCGCAAAATACTACAAGTCACCGATTCCCACAAAATACTACAAGTCACCGGCTCCTACAAAATACTACAAGTCGCCGGCTCCCACAAAATACTACAAATCTCCAGCTCCCGCAAAATATTACAAGTCGCCTGTTCCCACAAAATACTATAAGTCGCCAGCTCCCGCAAAATACTACAAATCTCCAGCTCCCGCAAAGTACAACAAGTCGCCTGTTCCGGCAAAATACTACAAGTCGCCAGCCCCCGCAAAATATTACAAGTCGCCATCGCCTGTAAAATATTACAAATCGTCATCGCCTGCAAAATATTACAAGTCGCCATCGCCTGTAAAATATTACAAATCGTCATCGCCTGCAAAATATTACAAGTCACCATCCCCAACAAAATATTACAAATCGCATGCTCCCTCTAAATACTATAAGTCACCTTCACCAATAAAATATTACAAGTCCCCTGTTTACTATAAGTCTCCACCACCACCAGCTTATTATGAGAAATCACCTTCGTACTACAAGTCACCTCCACCTCCTCCAAAATACTATGAGCAGTCATCTTATTACAAGTCACCTCCACCCCCACCAAAATACTATGAGCAATCACCATCTTCTTACAAATCTCCACCTCCACCATACTATAAAGAATCTACGCCTTCCTATAAATCTCCTCCACCTCCAACAAAATACTACGAGCAATTGCTTACTTACTTTTCACCACCTCCACCAGCAACCTATGAAAAATCACCATCTTATTATTCACCTCCACCACCAACGAACTATTACAAGCAAACTCCCACATATGCATCACCTCCACCACCTGAGAAGTATGAGCAATCCGCCACCTATGCTTCACCTCCACCCCCATCAGCATCTCCTCCACCAACCTACTACTAATATTAACTATTCAATCATTTTCCGCCATTTCCCATGATTTTAAATTCCTTTTTGTCTTTTAGTTTTGCAGCTCCATTTCCTCTGCCAAAAATTGTTGTATGCTTCCCAAAATGATCGGCTTTTGCTTATTGTGTGTTCAATATTTTTTTATTTTAATAATTTGTATTATATATTTATTTGGGATTTATTTAAGATCCTCAATATCTTCATCAATCAACTGTTTTTATTATATCGAGATTCTTTGCATTCTATTTTTCTTAATTTTGTTGTCTTCTTTGTCTAATACTGCGTGCTTTAATCGAGTGAATTCTTTCATTGGTTCATAAGTATATCTCCTGGACATTTATTCAAATTTACTTGAAATAACGCGATATTGTCTCTTGAGAATTTTTTCCCTAGAATGGTTTATAACCTATATGTGCGATTATATTGGGTACGTTGTTGTTGTAATGCTTTATAACCTATCCACTAAAGAATTGCTAAAATTATGAATATATTTCTAAAGATGTAATAAAATAATCGAAAGCCTAAAATGGCACATTTCAAATTTTAATATTTTGACATAGTGCATTAAAAGTCGGGGACACAAAGAGAGGTATAAGCTCGTAGGCATGGCGTGTAAACCCATGAATCTTTTAAATTATGCTAATTTATAAATTACAATAATTTGTATAATTACATGATATACGAATCAACTACAATGTCCTAACAATCCAAACATCACTTACGTATACCTCAACTATTTCACACCTCCCACTTGTATGTGTACCAAGTAACTCTAACCAACAAAACTTAGGTAGGTATAAAAATCATCTAATATTTTAAAACTAATATTTACATTACTAAATTCCTTGTTTGAGATACAATCAAGTGTTAGATAAGTTAGAAATATGATATTTAGACTTATAGGAATAATAACAATTACATGTGCTTCCAACTGATTAATCTCCCTCTGATCCACAATAAGTGACCATTTTACCTTTGTCACGCCCATTAAGGAAATATGAACTCCTAAAGAAAAAAAAATGTATTCACCAAATTAACCTTAATTAATTATTACCTTGACACATTGAAATATGTAAATAAGCGTAAATTTTGAAAAAAAATAGAATTAATTCCTTCTTGATTATGTAAATAAACACTTATTTTGGACCAAAATAAAAGGATAAAATGGTCACTTATTGCGAACCGGAGGGAGTAATTTAACAAACATCTCACAATACTATGATTCGTCAAAGATAAATTTTTAGATATAGTTGTTCGTAAATTGTTACTTTCTAACACTTATTGTAGAAAATAAAAACTAGAGATTGAATTTGAGAGAATTTTTCTGATGATCTTCTCATTGATGAGTGTCGGTATTTATACATGTATCTGACTTAAAAATAAATAAATAGCTATACACTTGTCTATTTTCTATTGAACCTAAAATAACAGAAAAGAATCTTCTATACACTACTAAATACATTGATGTGTAACAAACTTCTGTCATGTCATCTTTATCTTTCTTATTAAATGAATCGTCATGATGAAAGTTTGTATAATCTAATCCAACGCTCCTAAGCTGCCCACTTATTTCATTCAAGACCTGAGAAAGGGAAGATATATAACTTCCTGTCTTTGACACAGGCTGGAAAATATCGCCTCTTTCCCTTTCTTCTCTACACATTCAACATCATAATTAGGGCATAAATTATCACTATTTCCAACACCCCCCCCCCCCTTATGG